TGATGTGATGCCTGGTAGCGATGGAAATATTAGATCCACTAATAATGTAAAGAAACCTGATGGTAGTTCTTATATTCTACTAAACATTTGTATACTTTTTTAGTGTTATCGATCACTCACTCCCACCTAACTAATAGTCCCCCAGCAGAAAATATAGAATTCCGTAGCTAAGATTTGTTTATACTTTTTAAAGAAAAGATTTGTTAGCTTCGGTAGAATTCCGAAGTTAAAAGAAGTAATTTAATTCCCTAGAAGGGGAATTATTTCATTTGATTTATTTGTTTGTTGACTCGGAGAGTCAACGTTTCTTTCTGTTTGGCGGAGTTGTTCGATGCGGGGAATTCTGCCCCTATTCACATTCTTGACTTTAAAATAAGATTTAAAATTAAAATATTTTAAAGGATATTCTTCATGGAATAAAATGATTTTTAAGAGCCTAGACTAGGTTAGGCTTTGTGTTTTATAATTTACACTTTCAGCTCTAGAGGAAGTGAAAAAGAGTTTCAAAAGAAGAAAAAGAAATATTTGTAGAAAGAAGAAAACATAAAAGAATCTGAAGAAATTGAATTGACTGTTAAAAAATGTTATAACAAGATTTGTTTATTGTAAAGAAAAGATTCAAATGAAAGAAAAGATAAGTTGACTGCTTGTAGAATGATACATTCTATAGACAGACATTATTCATGTAAGTAAATCTGTTTATTTTTGTTTGTTACCCACTTAGCATATGGAACAATATGCATGTAATTTTTGATTTGTTAAAATAAATATTTATCTGTGAATAGTATAGTTGTTATATCTAATAATTTTAAGATCGTCTGCTTCATTGAGAGGTTTTGTTGTTACTTTCCTAAGAAGAAGCCGAGAACGAAATCGGCAGTTTAAGTCCTGTGTATTAATATATTTATAATTTAAATATATTAATTTAAGATCGTATACGGGTAAAACTTAAATTTGATTGAGAATTAAATTTTTCATTTAAATTTGGGTTTTTAACATCACCCACCAACACCGACACACAGGAGATACAATTATTTCTTCTTCAAGAGTCATTCGATGTGGGGAATTCTGCCCTATTCTCGTTCTCTAAAATAATATTTTAAAATATTTTAAATAGATATTTATCTTGAAATTAGATTTTATCAAGCTAGGTTAGGGGTTGTGTTTTTTATTTTACCCTTTCAGTACCAAAAAAAGAAAAAAAAAGAAAGAATTCTGAAGAAGAAAAAGAAGATAAATGTATCTGAAGAAATTATCTCTCATCCTGTAGAAGATAAGTTTTTTTTTTCTGTAAACTTTTGCTTACTTCGAAGAAAAATGTTGTTTAAAATTAAAAGTAGGCGATCTTAACATCGTTGGCTATTGAAAGTGATAAATGATTGCTGTCATCACATATCGACAGCTAACGTGAGATTCGAGTTATCATACGGAAAGACATAATTGACGTAACGTTTTTTTTTACATGAACCAGCTTATGTAGCACCTCGTAATTATTAAAGTAAAAAAAATACCTTTCAGCATTTCAATTTCTTTTATTTTGTTTTTTTATTACTGTAGCTTACATCATAAGTTTGTTGATACTATCTGTAGAAATTATAAATACTATAAATAAATTAAAATACAAGTGCTGTACAGCTTTTTGAGGGCAACTATAGCCCCCTAAAGTCAATACTGATCTGCTATGATAAAACATTTCTATCCCAATTAAAAATCATCACAAACATATCAAAAGTTATTTTGTTACACTACAGCCAATTTAAGCTGAAAAAAAAAATTTGAAAGATGACTTTTGATCTGCACCCCATGAAACTAGGTATTTCCTGAAAGTAAAGAATGCTCTTTCATTTCTAAGTAAAATTAGTTGGTGTAAATGATTATAAAAAATTTTCCCGGGGATAAAATATGAAAAAATAGTTAAAATTGCTATTCCTGATCACTGGAAAGCGGTTTTTTTTTTTTTTTTTTTTTTAATCAGCGATAAGGAAAACAATGTTGAAATTAAGCCAAAATTGACTTTGACATTGCTGGGTCAAAGGCCAGCCAGCCGACAAGACCAAGTTGTTATCACCTTGTAAAAAATTCCATTTTTTTTTTTAATCTATGTTTAAACAATGGCTTGATGTATTTTTGTTTTTTAACACCTTTTGAGCAGGGTGATGGCAACAACACTTAAGGATAGAACCGAAAACAGTTTGTTTGAAATAAGAAATTCACATAAAATTGAAATAAAGACGACTCACGGAAAACTGAAAACTGTAAAACAACTTCAAAAAATTGAAATTGCAATGAAATATGTAAATGAAATAAATGGTAATTTTAAAAATGTAGTAATGTTGACAGTGAAAATGGCTTAGGATGATGTTCAAATTTTTTTAATGAGTAAAATCGCTAATTCAAAATGCTCAGCATGTGTTTCGCACGAAGAATTTGCAATAATGTAATCGACGTTCAGCGTTGAACGCTTACACTCAAGCCACGTGACGTTTTATTGATTGTGGTCTTCCGTACTTTTTAGTTACAACCATTTTAACGATTTTTATGAACACAAAATTACATTTCTTAATTACTGCGGATCTTCTGATTGGTCAAAACGATATAGTTTACAAAGCGCTAAAAAATGATCATCTCATGAGGACACTTGGGAAACCCGATGCGGCTTTTAACTAATTTTATAATATTTTAACAACTTATATGTAAAAATCAATTATAATTAAAGAAATAACAAATAATTGTATTAAAAATTCAATTTTCATTGAAATATTTTTGCTTTCAGAAAATATTGTCTATATTCATAAAAACAAATAAAAGCATTTGAAATTAAATAATATCTTTGTTTTATTGCGTTTTGTATATTACAATTCAGAGCTGATTTTCATGTGGGGGGGGGGTCCAGTTAAAAAAAATCAAGACATAATTTGCATTCTTCAAACCCTTGTGCTTTTATTGTAATCGGATTCCGTGAGGCTAATTTGTTCTACGGAAGGAGAAAAGTGAAATAATTTAAATTTAAGTGAACGAATTATTTACCTCGTTATTTTTAAGGAAAATTTTCAGCGTTCTAATTTTTTTTTGTACTTAGCTTTCAACTTTACGTTTACGATGCTTTATGGAAAATATATAATAAAGAAATTAAAATAAGACTGTTAAGAGTGAGATTAAATTTCATATTTCATAAGAAAGGTATCTAAGTAATTTATAGGTACCTTTCTTATGAATTTTTATCAGAAGTGTACATAAAATACTATAATTTTATGTACATTTATTACATTTTACTGTGTTATTTGTATTTCCATACATTTTATTATTAATTTTGATATTTCATTTATGGAAAAATGTCATAACAGATCAATATAAAAATAAGATCATATAAATTTCATAAAATGATACTGATACTTGTAGGTACTCTTCTCAGTTGAAATTGAAAAATAAAATTAACTCCTCCTACACGTGTTTCACAAAAGTAAAAGCCTTAACAGCGGAGAACAATACTTAACTCAAATAACGCAATTTAATTGTATTCTGGTTGGTCTTAGGTACATTACAATTACAGCCTGGTTATAAACACAAAATTACATTTCTTAATTACTGTGGATCTTCTGATTAGTCAAAACGATACAATTTACAACGCGCTAAAAAAGGAGACTTAGGAAACCTGATGCGGCTTTTAAGTAATTTTATAATATTTTAACAACTTAAATGTAAAAATCTATTATAATTAAGAAATAACAAATAATTGTATTAAAAATTCATTTTTCATCGAAAAAAAATTTTTGCTTCCAGAAAATATTGTCCATATTCATAAAAACAATTAAAAGCAAATAAAAGAATTTGAAATTAAAATAATATCTTTGTTTTATTGAGTTTTGTATGTTACTATTCAGAGCTGATTTTCAGGTGGGGGGTCCAATTAAAAAAAAAAAAAACAAGATTTGCATTCCTCAAAGCCTTGTGCTTTTAACTATTGTAATCATTAAACTAGACTCGATCGAATTTCTAGCGTTTTTATAAAATTAGTTATGGGGAGGGTAATAAATATAAAAAAAATTCTTTCTGCCATGAGTTTAATAAAAAGAAACATATTTATAATAATTTCAATCATCTGTGAATAGTTTCTGAAAGTTTCATTAACATCCGACAATTATTTTTATTTTTGCAAGATTTTCCAAATTAATGTGTGTCATACAAAAAAAAAAAAAAAAAACGCGCTAAAAATTGTATACTAGCTAGTTCCGCTTGGTACAAAGAGAAACAGGGTTTTTTTAATCAAAATTTAGAATGATCTAAAAAGAAGGAAAAATTTTAAAAATAATTAAAAAAAAAACTTTAGTCTTTCCTCTTCATAATAATATAAGCATTTAGACGATAAAATTTTGTTTTCGTAAAGTTTGGCGACTTTTTCATCAGTGCCAAGGGCCCTCTGTGCTGCTAATGATGCGCCTTGCAAGGAAGTCCTGGATTTCGTCTACGGAACCTTCCTGCCTAATACCAAACATTGCAGCACTAGTCCCTTTGTTGATGTACTTGCATACATACTTGATGGAGCGAACTGAATGGCAATATTCGACATTGATGTGCGCATAGAACGCTTTTGTTAGCAGGGGATTGTATGGCACTACCCATCTGTTATCCACATGGTGGCCCTTTACCACGGCTGTAAATCCTCCTGCAGCGGGACTCCTTCGCCGGTACAGTGGATAACCATCGCTCCCTGTAATGGTTTCGCTCACAAAATCTCGTGGGTACTGCCGGGTGCATTTGCCGTCGCTGTTGTGACAGCTGGTGTAATTGTAATGCGACCCGCAGGGACCATGAATCATGTTGGTTGTCACTATTTCGTACAATTCAGGGTCAGCCGACGGATCAGGAATTTCAGCAGAAATAAGATGATCGATTTCTGTGGCCTCTATCTTGTCGCACAGCCAAATTAGTATATGTGCGTGAGCCAGGCCGCGTTTCTGCCACTCAATAGTGTGCATGCAACAGCAAACAGCCCCCAAAACCTAGCCCTTTGTAATGACATCCATTAGCTTTCCCAACTTCAGATGGTAAACACGCGCAATGACGTCTGGACGGTCGTAGGCCGATTGCCCTGGCATAAGTTCTTTAGCAATTGCGTACCATTTTGGGTTACACGTGAAAGTTATGAATAGGTCTGGTCGGCCGCACTTACGAACGTATGTCATCACGTCTTGCATCCTCGCGTGCATGTATTGTGGACTACCTGTGAACGTTCCAGGTAGTATGCACATCTTGCCTATATTGCGTGGATCAGCGTCATTTCGTAAAGCATCACGGAGGTGAATGTAAGAGTCGCAGCGAAACTTGGTCTGATTCAATCTGATGTAACAGAGTCTTTCGGGTTCCATCTTAGCAGCCATGTCTACTATGAATTGATGGAAAAGTTGCCGACTTCGATTAAGATGATTGAATGCATCCTCATGTACCATGAATAGGTAGGCGTAGAAAGCCCTGCAAGACACTGTTTTTAAGGTGGATCCATTTTGCAGAATGCCAAAGTGGTACCCATCTTCTCCGTAAGGGAAGAGAAGTGGGTATTGCAGTGCATCGTAGGACCGGTGTGTTTCACTGATTCTCCGGAGCCCACTGCCGCGTGATTCGATAACAATGTCACGTCTGTTGTACTGATCACCGCTGACAATGACGGAAACTTCATTACTTGCGGGAGCATTGTAACGACGTTCGTGCTCTCCCTGAGGCCGTTTATCAGCATCAATTACAATAATCAGAAGTGTTATTTTCGAGAGCATGCTTAAAACTGCGGACATAGCTGTTTGTCTCGTGGAGCATTTGTTAGAGACTCATTATGATATCCCTGCAAGGATGATTGTCCGGGCCTGTATCGTTCTCGGGAATAATGCCCATGCGGGCATCTGCCTGTTGATTGTAGTCAGCTATGAAGTATATTTGTAGAAAGGCCGAATCAATGGCAGTTTCCGGTAAAAGAGACCCAATCCGGTGGTAAACCTGACCTTGAACCTTGAAGGTGGGATTCTAACCGACTTCGAGAAAGGTATTACCACCAAAAGAAGTCATCTGGAAGGCACAATTGTACTGTCTGATTTTTGCGAGGAAATGTTTGGAGTCTGGACTGGAACCCTCCAACAGAGCTTTCAACGGAGCAGGTAGCTCTTGAAAAGGTGGCAACTGTACCTTACCGTCTGAACAACACAAACCCGCAGACTCTCCGGGATATTTTTTGGCATTGCAATGCCCACAGACAACTGACATGGATCCTATTTGGAGGTCTTTGCGACCGGAAGCCTCAAAACTGGCTCATAGTTGAACGTCAGCTTAAACCAAAACTGCTTTGGTGGGTTATAGAGCCCTCGCTGTGCATGGTGGCGCTGGTTAACAGTCTGAGACCTTTCAAGCCTTTCAGTAGGTCCTTCTACAGCTCTAGCAGCGGAAGTTGAAATTGCATCGCGTTGCCGCTTTGTGCGCTTTTGCGCGAAACTTTCCGACGCCCTTGCAGCAGAAGTTGCAGCGGCGTCGGCTGCATGGCGTGCGGTTTTCTCAGCCATGGATTCCTGTGACCATCGAATGGACGTTGCCGCAGCTTTTTAACTGTCTAATAGCAAAACTGAACTACGAAAAAGTAGAAATAGGTATGGAACGCTAAGATGGACTGGGCTGCGCAGTAGAGGCAGCACGCGAAGATAAAATGGGTAATGCAAACGTTTCAACAAATAGGTAACTTGCGGTAGCAGGAAGCTGTCAATTAATCCAAGGACAGATGCGTTAATGGCGATCAAATCAAGACGTGAGTGCGGATGCAGCCGCGCTGAAGGTATTTAAAGGGAGCGTGACTTGTCATTGATTGGTGTAGCGTGGACAATGGCCATGACTTAGACCAACGAATGAGCTCAAGCAAAATGGAAGATGCTACCGCGCATTCACGCACGCGCGCATGATTTGGCAAAGGCAAGGCTTGGCCGTAAACGGGGTCAAGATGCCTGCTGCATATGCAGCGTGGCTCTAACGCACGTGATGCCGGCGATGAGAATGCAAGGAGCTGCAATGAAGCGTTTGCTCATTCGGTTTGTGCGACACCGAAAAGCCGCTAACCGTTTGCCGGCATTAGCTTTGAAATGGATTGGGAGGAAGCCCTGATGTTTTAGCGCAAAAACTCCTCGTCAGGTCTGGAATGCGGCCTGGACTAGGGGAAAATGTTTAAAGAATTTGAAAATGGATTGCTGAGGGCGGAACCATTTTCACTCAGCACGTATACGGGTTTTTTTTTCAGTAAAGACGCGAATAAAGGAAATGCTTATTTTGGTAAGATGCGACGATTAAAGCAAAAGTGTTGACAAAGCCGAATATGTCATTTGTGGCTCAAAGTCAGACCTGTTAGCAGGGATAAAAAAAGCCGAATTTCAATGGCACTGCACCCATTCCAGAATTTGAGGTCAAATGTTTTCTTCCACTCCATTGCTCGCACTGACCTGTTTCTTCCCGCGCATAGCGTGACCTTAAATTAATCTGCATTTAGGAAATACCCAACCGGAAAAAAACATTTTTATGGGTTGACCGATTGTCGATTTGCACTCTGTTTGGGGGGCGCTCAGAGATGAAACTTTACATGGTGACTACCAATGGCCTCCTCATAAATCCGGTCGGTTTTCACTAAAAACCGACATGCGGTTCAGACGCAATCTGGGCGTAACGGTTTTTGGGTTTTATCGATTTTCTGCGCTGTTTAGGGGTCCGTGGTCATGAAACGTTTGGACAACACTTCTAATGGTAGACTCTAAGAGCGTGTCAAATTTGGTTGAAATGCTATCATTCCTTCTGTAAGCAGATTTTTTCGATTAACGATTTTTTCGATTATCGATTTTTTCGGAACCTGAGTTCGAACTCAAAAATTGGGCTCCGTCATGTCCTTACGGCAGCCATTTGCAAACTTGTGGTGAAAACCACATTGAAATCGGGTGAGAAATGCGGCCTGGGCGAGGTAACAACGCCCACGACAGACACACGGACAGACAACATGAGAAATATAGATAGATAGATGGATAGATAGATAGATAGATAGATAGATAGATAGATTAGTATACATATGTTATGAACGCTACCATACGTGCTGTATTTGGAAGTTAAAACATCCCTATTGCTGTAAATACAAGGAAATCTACATATTCCGATTACTTTTGACAGAAATGCATGAAAATGAATTTCCTTTTTCAGAACGTCGATCACGGCTTGTCTCAGTTTCCCTAAAACTTGCCTTTTCTTTTTTACTATTTTATATCGACATTGGCATAATTGTTTACTGGACACGAGATTTACTTACATGTGACTTCCGAAAAAGTCACTACTTGACATCGCACCCGTCTTCTTGACAGTAGTTATTTACTTTTTTTCTTAACTGCTATACATGATAAAAGAAATAAAATTATTTAAGCAAATACTATTTAAATATATAAATATACAAAAATCTATAAGACTGAGTTTGCCAAGATATTTCAAAGTATTTAGCTTTATTATAACCAAATACAACAGATCGAAATTTCCCCTCTTAGTTTTTATTCACTTCTATCTATCTTTCTCAGCCTATATTATATATCCGTCTATCTCAGCCTATTCATATCAATCTTTCATTCTACTTTCCCATCCATTTAGCTTGTTTTCAAAATAGCTAGATAAGGAGGTAGCAATGACTGTGGGTCTATAGATAAATGTATCTAAATCTAGAAGCTTGTTATTTCTTTTTAAATGTATCTTTTTCAAAAAAAATTCTATCTTTATTTTTTTTAATAGATTTCAGATGCCTACAGTTCACGTGCAGCTTGCCTTATAGAATATGCTGAGTTGGAAACTGCTGCTTATGATCGAAATAATTGGAGGTGTAAATTTCACTACGATCTTCTAATGAGTTGGACAAATGTCAAGCGTGAAGCAAGGGAAAGGTAAGTCACTGATCCATCAAGCCAGCAATTTACATGTGGTGAATGTGGTAGAGAATGTCTCTCAAATTCATGGCACGTTAGCCACAAGAATATTCATATTTGTAGATATTTGAGAAATTACGATCAGTACTGCGATGGAAAATTAAATAACATAAAATAACACACAGTGTGTTTTAGAAAACATGCACAACCCTCTCCCGTCTCATCCTTCATTATTATCAGTATTATTGTTGTAAGTTATGGAAAGTTACTGTATGGAATAATTACACGAAGGTTGGTAATGAGCGATAATACTTAGGACACGAACAACACATAAGATTCTCCAGTGGCGCGTAAAAGTAGTAGTCAGCTACTAAAAGTGAATCAAGTGAATTTCACAATGAATCTCCAACTGCAGACAATATTTACCAACCGCCCCAAACGGTCAGATATGGTACAAGATCGAATTTAATGTGGGGTTCCCGAGCCCGTAGGCTCAGGAAAAAATCCCCATAGACCCCATAGGGTCGGGTAGGTGTTTCTCGAGACGAGATTCTGCCCTTCGACATAGCCTCGTCTGAGGATGTTCTCAGCCCAGCGCAGCCCAGCTGAAATGAATCTCCAACTGCAGACCGGCCGACCCACACATACAGTATTCACTACTGTATTTATGGGAATGGGGTCACACCCATTATCGACCGTAGGTATGCTACAACAGTAAATATCCAAAAATAAAATGTAACAATCTAAAAATATTTTCTGGCTTTAGTTAAACTGTAAAAGGTAGATAAGCCATGAAAAATCACTCAATCAAATTCAGTCGTTTGGAACCTTGCCAGCATTAAAAGTTTTCAGGATGATGTTATGCATGATAACAGTCAAGTAAAATATTTCAGCAAATACACCGTTTTTTTCCGGCAGCCTTCCCCGTGATTAGCTTGCTGATAGATGATTATACTTCATCGAATGTAGGAGGATCATTCTTAGATCCCACTATGGGTCTTTGATGAAAGTGTTTAAGAGCAGATTGGTCCGCATGGCTATCCCTGTTGAGCAGATTCGAAAAGTATTATTTTCATCTCTTGCCGATTTCCACCATTCTAGTAAGTAGCTACGTGCCATCTTGAGGCCGTTCTTGGGACAAATGCTTGCTTTATGAGGTTGTCTTTACTATTCTTACTCAGCAGCATGCATTTTAGCGTCTAAGTCGAACTAACAAGTGCATTCCATCTCACGAAACCTATGTTGAGCATCCAGCTTTGATTCTTTAAATTGATTTTCTAGCTGCTTTTGGTGCTTGTAGGCAGTCTGTTTTGTTGCATGCGTTCTCGTATCATGTTCTTATTTCAGATAATATATACAATGACTTTGTCATTTTTATCGTCGAATCAATCACGATTTTTAACCAAAACTAACTCCACAGTTTGTGTTCAAGATAGTTGAATTAAACTGAGTTTCAATTCGAGCTTTCGGAGCTTGTCTACTGTTATGGAAATGGCATTTTTGCAATATTGAAGCGGATTGGTAATTTCATAGTAATGCGTTTTCAAGCAGCTTAATGACCAAACACATTTTGGCATGTACAACTGCATGGTTGGCCCAACAGTTCGCGCCTCGTACCTTTCCTGTTGTATACATACTAGATATCATATTTACGGACTATAGCTTAAGCACCATTGATGGGAATTAGGTGCATTCTGGTCGTTATAGGGTCTGTTTATTTTTGTATATTAAATTTATAAATGCTTTCTTGCTTGTTCCTTGTTTAATTATGTATAAATCTGGTTTGAAAATAACATTAAGATCTAAAAGTGATTGTCCCAATGAAATATTGAGCTCTGTATCCATATCCACAATGTATA